CCCTTCAAAAGGAATGGAAACTTTGGAGTACTGTGTTCTCTGGGTTTGAGTCTACCTGCAGGATGGTGTCTAAGTTGTGTTTACCTCATTTCCGTGTTTAGGCAAGTTCATATTATATATATATATATATATATATATATATATATATATATATATATATATATATATATATATATATATATATATATATATATATATATATATATATATATATATATATATATAATGTCGTACCTAGTAGCCAGAACGCACTTCTCAGCCTACTATGCAAGGCTCGATTTGCCTAATAAGACAAGTTTTCGTGAATTAATTGTTTTTCGACTACCTAACCTACCTAACCTAACCTAACCTTTTCGGCTACCTAACCTAACCTAACGTAAAAAGATAGGTTAGGTTAGGTTAGGTAGGGTTGGTTAGGTTCGGTCATATATCAACGTTAATATTAACTCCCATAAAAAAAATTGACCTCATACATAATGAAATGGGTAGCTTTATCATTTCATAAGAAAAAAAATTGAGAAAATATATTAATTCAGGAAAGCTTGGCTTATTAGGCAAATCGGGCCTTGAATAGTAGGCCGAGAAGTGCGTTCTGGCTACTAGGTACGACATATATATATATATATATATATATATATATATATATATATATATATGTCGTACCTAGTAGCCAGAACGCACTTCTCAGCCTACTATACTAGGCCTGATTTGCCTAATAAGCCAAGTTTTCATGAATTAATTGTTTTTCGACTACCTAACCTACCTAACTTTTTCGGCTACCTAACCTAACCTAACCTATAAAGATAGGTTAGGTTAGGTTAGGTAGGGTTGGTTAGGTTCAGTCGTATATCTAAGTTAATTTTAACGCCAATAAAAAAAAATTACCTCATACGTAATGAAATGGGTAGCTTTATCATTTCATAAGAAAAAAATTAAAGAAAATATATTAATTCAGGAAAACTTGGCTTATTAGGCAAATCGGGGCTTGCATAGTAGGCTGAGAAGTGCATTCTGGCTACTAGGTACGACATATATATATATATATATATATATATATATATATATATATATATATATATATATATATATATATATATATATATATATATATATATATATATATATATATATATATATATATATATATATATATATATATATATATATATATATAATATAATATAATTTATGCTGGTATATAGTCACAAACAAATACACTGAAAATAGTTGAAGGTCAGGGGCCGTAATCTGCAAATAGAATAACAACACACCTGAGAGATACGGTGTGGGAGGTGTACCACGGGAGGTGTACCACGGGAGGTGTACCACGGGAGGTGTACCACGGGAGGTGTACCACGGGAGGTGTACCACGGGAGGTGTACCACGGGAGGTGAACCACGGGAGGTGAACCACGGGAGGTGTACCACGGGAGGTGTACCACGGGAGGTGTACCACGGGAGGTGTACCACGGGAGGTGTACCACGGGAGGTGAACCACGGGAGGTGAACCACGGGAGGTGTACCACGGGAGGTGTACCACGGGAGGTGTACCACGGGAGGTGTACCATGGCAGCTGTACCACGGGAGGTGTACCACGGGAGGTGTACCATGGCAGCTGTACCACGGGAGGTGTACCACGGGAGGTGTACCACGGGAGGTGTACCACGGGAGGTGTACCACGGGAGGTGTACCACGGGAGGTGTACCACGGGAGGTGTACCACGGGAGGTGTACCACGGGAGGTGTACCACGGGCGCTGTACCACGGGAGGTGTACCACGGGAGGTGTACCACGGGAGGTGTACCACGGGAGGTGAACCATGGCAGCTGTACCACGGGAGGTGTACCATGGCAGCTGTACCACGGGAGGTGTACCACGGGAGGTGTACCACGGGAGGTGTACCACGGGAGGTGTACCACGGGAGGTGAACCACGGGAGGTGTACCACGGGAGGTGAACCACGGGAGGTGAACCACGGGAGGTGTACCACGGGAGGTGTACCACGGGAGGTGTACCATGGCAGCTGTACCACGGGAGGTGTACCACGGGAGGTGTACCATGGCAGCTGTACCACGGGAGGTGTACCACGGGAGGTGTACCACGGGAGGTGTACCACGGGAGGTGTACCACGGCAGGTGTACCACGGGAGGTGTACCACGGGAGGTGTACCACGGGAGGTGTACCACGGGCGCTGTACCACGGGAGGTGTACCACGGGAGGTGTACCACGGGAGGTGTACCACGGGAGGTGTACCACGGGAGGTGTACCACGGGCGCTGTACCACGGGAGGTGTACCACGGGAGGTGTACCACGGGAGGTGAACCATGGCAGCTGTACCACGGGAGGTGTACCATGGCAGCTGTACCACGGGAGGTGTACCACGGGAGGTGTACCACGGGAGGTGTACCACGGGAGGTGTACCACGGGAGGTGTACCACGGGAGGTGTACCACGGGAGGTGTACCACGGGAGGTGAACCACGGGAGGTGAACCACGGGAGGTGAACCACGGGAGGTGTACCACGGGAGGTGTACCACGGGAGGTGTACCACGGGCG